GCGCTTCTGACAACCAAGAATGTGGCGCGGCCAAGAAAGTGGAAAAATAAGAAAGCCACTCACCAAGGTCTCGCTGCACTACCGTGGTCACCGAGACAAAAAAGAAAGGGGTTGTATTTGTTCACGTTCTGGTAAAAGATTCATTCGCATTTTGCACATTTGCTGAGGAGTGGAGCAAGGGCCCAAGTAGGGGAAAGGAATAGAACTCAACCCAAAACATGGAAAGGCACGTCGCTACTTTACTTTTACCTTTTTGCCAAGGCTCTGAGGCCCCCAGCCGTGGTCCACAACTGAGCCTACTCAACCTGGACCCAACCCCCTTGTGCAGGTAAAGTTGGTTTCGTTCACTCGAACATAACGCGTATGCGTTGTAAACGAATACAACGCACGGTATGCGTTGCATATGCCTTATGTTCGGGGGAAGACGGTAGGCGAGGTTGGACTGCCCACTTGCCCACTTGCCTCTGGCCTGACTCTGGCAACTCTCGAAAGGCCAATTCCGGACCTTCCGGAAGTCCGTAGACTTGGCCTTTCAGGACTGTAGCAGCTACAACCTTGACCTTTAAGGACTGTAGCAACTACGACTTGTACACAGCTATGACCCCTACTTGACAGACCTACGGTTCAAAACCCGACAACTACACAGACTACGGCAGACAAGAGCCAACTACCAAGACACAGGTCACGGGTTCAAACACACAGGGGTCGACTTGGTACTGTACACGGGTTCGGAGCAGGTCTAGGGATCGAGCCCTGGGGTCTGCATCTGCTACCACGAATTGAATAGCTCCTTTCAAAAATAAAGTGTTTCCGTTCAGTTCGGGAAAAAAAAAAAAAAAACGGGTATCGGATCTGGTTAGGATATCGACTTCGGACATGTGTTTGGGCTTGTTTAGCTGCCCTATCAGCAGCACTGAACGTCATCAAGTGCCACATCAGTACAGTGTCTTACCGACAGTCTGACCTGTTGACTGTTGGTGAGTAGTGTTCTCACGTGGCACTTGATGTTGTCGCAGTGTTGTTGCCATGGCCGCTTAACTAATTTCAGCAGCATTGCAACACCATTAACTGCCAAATCAGTATTTATTCCAGTGGTGCATTTTTCGATCCATTTCTTTCATCCTTGTGCAGGGACCATGCTAATCTTCCCTGTTTGGTTTGAATTTTATGCTGTGTTCCCCTTAGAGCTGGTGTACCCAGTGTGTTTGCCCCAGTGCGTAGGCTAACTCCTACTGGCATGTGCTGTATTTTGATTCCTGCCAGGCGTTACCACTATTTTTGGATAAGATGGTGCATCCAGTAATGGCGGTTGTCCTTTCTGTGACATTTGTACTTCTCTTTGGCGAGGTAAGATGCTCTGGTTGCTCGTCCCCTCTGCCTATCAAGTGTGGCCATTCCAATGAAAGCCTGAAGGTCTGGGGCTCCTTTGTTACGGACTGAAGATATAATTGTGTGCGTGGAGAGCCAGGGCTCACTTGTTGCTGACTGTGAGCGAGGTTAAGTTGTTGATGTGAGTCTGTGACCAAGTCATCCGTCTCTCTGCTTTTTCTCTCTTTTTCTGTGTGGCTGTGTGGCAGGGGGAAAGGTCGGTGCACATTCATTTCTTTCTTTTTCTTTTTAGGGTGAAAAATGTGGCAAGTTTATAGTATTATCTAGAATCTAAGAGTTTATCTCCGATTGTCTTGATCAATGGCTTTGCGTGTGTGCCAGTTTCGGTCTTTGTCTGTTATATCCCCTTCAGTCCCTGGCCACTTCCTATATACTTGTATTTCTAGACTCTTCATGGCAGGATGGAGGTCCTGGCTCAACCCTGTTGCTTTGTTTTGCTCCTCGTCAACATGCAGGTTATTCCTCAAGCTGTGTGCTCACACCATGGACTTGCGATTGGTGCCAGCATGATCTGGCTGGTAAAGCTACTAATGATGGTCTGCTATGTAGTGGCGTACCCTCTTGGCAAGGTAAGTCAGTAACGTAACCAATGTTGTAACCGCCTTGCATTTTGTGAATGAAGGGCAGTGTCACTGTGTGAAAGAATTATGTGGAAAATTACACAAACAGTCCCCTCAGGGTGCAACTTCCGAAACTAGTCCAGTTAGAATGCTCTTGGATGAAGGGAAAAAAAAAAAAAAAAAAAAAAAAAAAAAAAAGAATGCTCTTGGATGTGCTGGGGCAAAAATGCATGATCTGCACCTGTATGTGCAAATACTTAGGCTTATCATATGTGGACAGATAGAGCTGTCCTTTTGCGTCTCTTAAAAATACTCTGATGACACACTTCCCCCCACCCACCCCACCCACAGACACGCACACAGAACACACTCTATTGTGGTTGGTGTCGGTTTATACACGGCCTAATTCTTTGCCCTGCTTTAGAGCATGGGCTGTTTGGATGTTTATGGGTGGCCACAAGTTCTCTTTGGTGGGAATGTATGTTTTGTGGGCCGGCGTGGAAGGCTTTCCCAGTTTTTTCAGACCCTTAGCATGGGGGGTTGGTGCGTTCTTGCTGAAGGAGTCTTCTGTCTTAGGTAAGTTCTCTTATCTTCTTCGTCCTCTTTGGCAGTGATGCGAGTGTGTAGTTTGAGATGAATGTCGGGAATGCCAATGCTGTTATATTTGTTTGTTTTTTATGAATGAGTTTCTGGTTTTGTGGGCCGATGCGGAAGACTCAAGGTTTTTCGGACCTTTAAGGGAGTCGGGTCGGTGCCATCTTGCTGGAGTAGTCTTCTGTCTTAGGCGAGTTGCCTTCTGCCCTCCATCCCCTTATGGTTTGAAATATATACGTATACATATGTATATGTGCAAGTGTGCCGCTTTGGCGGCAGACGGGTGTGTGGGCACTTGACGCTGAACCACACAAACGTGGCCAACCTTGCATTTTCTATTATATTGCCTATCTATATGCTTTTTCTTTATGGATGGCTTGTGATGATTTGTGAAGGGAATGAGAAAGAGAATCTGGGGTCTTTTAAAACAACACACTCTATTGTACTCACGTACGCCACCCTGACATGTCCCGTCCAATTTGTAGACAGGGAATCGAACGGCAATGCCTCTACAATTGCAGCCGGCACGCCTCTGTGTTCCTAGCATGTGGGAGCCACGTGGCCTGTGACATCCGCCTACGTCGAGCCATTCGCTGCAGCAACTGCGACTGCAAGACTTGGGTGTGATGCTTCCACAGTCCACACCCGAACTGGTGCTGTCCGCTCTGTAGGGGTGGCCCCGTACTGTAGCGCACGAGTACTCCCCAACACAATCTCCAGCAGCCTAAATACTGACTGACCTCTCATGTCATTCCAAGAATGGTCTGCTCCAGTGTGTTCTCTCTCTCTCTCTCTCTCTCTCTCTCTCTCTCTCTCTCTCTCTCTCTCTCTCTCTCTCTCTCTCTCTCTCTCTCTCTCTCTCTCTC